TCTACTTGTGATTGAATGCTAAAAATTTATATCTTATCAACTAATAAACTATATATTTGAAAACATATATATATATATATATATATATATATATATATATATATATATATATGAAACAAGTATCCTTGGCTTTGATTTCAAGTTACATGAAGATGAGCTCATCAAATATTATCTCTAGCGAAAGATAGCTAATATATGTGTCGTTGGCTTTGATTTCAAGCTACATGAAGATAAGCTCATAAAATATTATCTCTAGTGAAAGATAGCTAATCTTCCCTTGTACTTCAATGTCCTCAAGGACATCAACGTGTACAAGTACCATCCTAACAAGCTTGTTGGTAATGTTTACTTCATCTCGGTGTATTGTTATGTCTTTTAATATCATCAAATTAAATGCATATTTCATGGATTACTGACAGAGAATTACCGACAATTTAGAGAAGACAAGTGGTACTTCTTTATCTCTCAGAAGCGCAAGTATCCCAATGGGTCACGATCAAATCAAAAGGCCATCGATGGATACTAGAAAGCCATAGGAGTCGACAAACAAATCAATGTTCATGGCCATTGAATCGAAACCAAGAAATCTTTGGTTTATTGTACAGGAAAGGTGGGAAAGGTGAAAAGATTGATTGAATCATGCAGGAATATATGAACTATGATCCCATCTCACAATCTCATCAACTAGATGTTAGCATAAAGGTTCTAACATTATGTTCATGATCTCACGATCTTTATTAGTGTCATATTTTAATGCCGCTGATACTTTGTTTTGATCTATAGTTTAATTCCTATGTGTTGTGCTTGATTCAAAAGAAGCATGGAGCTCACAAGAGTATCACCACTTGTTCAAGTTCTTCCGATGAGATCAACAACCCTTCCCACTAGAAAGTTCCTCAGACGATCACCAGCAACAACCCTAGAAATGCCATGATTAGATCACAGGTTCTCCAAGAGGATGATGGTGGATTGGCATCAAGCAATCATCAACTTCAACCCAGGGGACTGGGTGTTCTTGTAAACTCCTACCGTAGTAACTTCGCACCTATAGCAATCATCAACTTCAACCCAGGGGACTGGGTGTTCTTGTAAACTCCTACCGTAGTAACTTCGCACCTATAGATCCTACCAATCTTGTACCAAGCTACCCAGGAATGTAAGCATACTAGGTTTTTGCACCAGTTCATACGAATCCATCAGGAACTGTATACCCACCAATTCATACTAACTTCACACCTACATATCCTGCCAATCTTGCAACAACCTGCCTAGGAGTGCAAGTTTATGCACTAGTTCATATTATTCCATCAGGACCTGTATACCCACCAGTGCAAGTCTACCAATCATAATCGATCCCTACAGTGCAACCCCATCCGCAACAAGTATATGCATTTGCACCAGTTCATGCTAATCAATCAAATCCTGTATACCCAACAGTGCAAGTCTATCATTCACAGTCGATCACTACAGTGCAAGCCCATTGACAACAAGCATATGTTTATGCACCAGTTCATACAGTCGACCTACATACCCATCAGTGCAAGTCTACCCATCACAGTCGATCCCTACAACGGAAGCATTTCCGCAACAAGCATATCATGAATTCCCTACACTCTACAATGTTAAACCCCAGAAGTGGATAACCACCTAGCATTGAATAGTTATTTGGTAGATAATGGTTAAGATTTTGTGGGCGAAGATTACGTTTTTACTTATGAGGACTTCAAGATTTCATTCTCTGATGAAGTGCCATGAGGGCCTGCAGGTCTTTTCGAACAAGATCCCGAGAGATGATGTTCCAGGAAACAATCCAGTTGTGCCACCAAGTGATAGCTGTGGTCTTCTAGGAAACAATTTTACTGTGCCTTCAAGTGATGAATCCTATGCCTCCAACTAATCTTTGGCATTATACGCGAGATGATCTCAGCTTCCTTATTAATTTTCATTATCGTCCTCGCATAGATCGTAGAAAACCTTAAAGCTGATTGTGGAGATTGGTTTTACTAAGATTAGAAGATGAGTTCTATAATGATAGATAGTGCAGCTGCATTTATTATGCTTCGGTTAGCCAAAGCATAGGCAATAGGAGTTGTCAACATTTTATATGAGATGTATATTTAT